GAGAACAGACCGTCAGAGAAGAGGGGTGGGGGGCTGGGTGAAAAAGGTGCAGGAATTAAGGAAAGAATCACATAGACACAAGCAACAGTATGGTGATTAGCAGAGGGATTAGTGAGGGGAGGTAGGAGAGGGTGAAGGGGGGATAAATGATGATGGAAGGAGATTTGACTTGGGGTGGTGCACACACACTAGAATGTATAGATGATGTATTATAGAATTATACTCCTGAAAACTATCAAAATTTATTAACCAATGTCACCCAATAAATTCAATAAAAATAAATAAATAAAGGTTGCAGCTGCACAATATTGTGACTATAACCACTGCCACTGAATTTACACTTAAAATGGTTAAAGTGGCAAGTTTTATGTTACATATTTTTACCACAACTTTTTACAATTGATATTGTAATATACCCCAAATCACTGAATTGAATTTTAAATAGATGAATTGCATAATATGTGAATTATATCTCAGTGAAACTATTTTCAAAAATAAATTATATTTACTACAATTGTTTATCCTACAGCAAATTCAGAGAGGTGTATAAATTCAAAGAAAAAAAGAACCCAATCCATAACCGGACAACAGATGTGGCATTTTCAGCTCCGGCCCCCTCTGGACTTCCTTCTTCCCGGCTCCCGAACCAGCCTGCAGGGCCTGTCACCGGTGGTTTCTGAGGAAACTCTGAATTTTTGCTGACAGTGATCTCCCAGGATTTTGGTCATTTCCTCTGGCAGCTGAAGCCCCACCCCACCCCATATACCCTCACCCCAACCCCAGGGCAGGGATGTCCTTGCACAGATGCTATTGGTGTTCATCCTTCCGGTGCATCGGAGCAGAGAGAATGGCTAATCCTTGGAAAGGCTGACCTCTGGGCATGGGTGGAGCTAGAGGTAGAGACTTCAAGAACCTAGGAAGTTTGTCTCCCCCGCCCCGCCCCGGGAGCCAGGAGTCAGAGTTCTGGCAGTACAGCACTCAGAGAAGTTGCGATGGGTTGATGGGACGTAAGAACCTCCATGTTTTGTAGGTCCACATCCCCTCTCTCACTTTCACCCCAGATCCACTGCACCAGCTCACACCCACCCACCTATCTCAGGTCTTGCAGGCAGACACTTCTCTCGGTGCTCACAGACCGAACTCAATACAAGTAATTAATTAAGGAGACAATTTTTATCACACAGGAGTCAAGAACCCAGATGCCTCTAAGGGGCAGGTAGGAAACCTAGGTGAACAAAGCAAGCCTCAGTCAATAGATTTTATAGGTGAAATTTCTTAATATTTATGTCATTGTTCTTAAGTATCTCAATTTTTAAATTTCCTGAATATGTCAAACCCAGGCACGAGTTCATGCCTTTAATTCAGGCTGTTACCTCTGGGTCTGGCTTGTCAAATGGACTTTACCACACTCCCTCAGGGTGAGCGTTATTAACCCCATTTCTGCAAACAAGGTGAGTCCCTGTTACCAGGCTCCAAGACAAACTGCATGATACCCCAAGGCGTGGGTGAAGGAATACGCTACACTGGGGAAAGGGCGAAGGGTCTACGCTATGAGTGCAGACAGCGGCCCCTGGCAATCACGCATCCTCCCTCGGAGTGGTGAGCAGGGCAGGGAACTGCTGGGCCCTCACTGAGGGGCCGTGGCAATGGAGGCCGCACCCCAATCACTCTTTTTGCACATGGTGCATGCGTAAGAACAAACTTCACAGTGGTACCAGGCAGTCTGGATTTGCCCGCTGTTGATGGAACTTGTCTGAAAATGCCAACCACCCACACCTTGGGGTCTATGGGACATCAGAGACCTTCCTGTCAGGGAAAGAATCATGGGGCCCAGGGGCTAGTTGAGATGCAGCACCTCCTATAGGCAGAAGGTGGAAACCTTCAATCCAGTCCCAGCTGGCTCAGTGTCCAAGCTACCTAGAATAAACACCCGTGGTCACCTCGGACAATTCTGGTCATTGCACTGCACGAGGACACTGAGACCCAGAGAGTTTAGGGCATGTGGGCAAGATCACGCAACTGGTAGGTGGTGGCACCCAGATTTTATGTCAGGATTTTCCACCATACCACATCTCATGGGCATCCTTGCTGTTCACCCAGTGGTCCTCCGTGGCTGTGTATAGGACCTCGCTGTCTCCTGGAGGGACCCAAAGGGTCAGCCCACCCATAGGTGTCTCAGGTTTATGGTGGAGGTATGGGGGAATTCTGCTGCTCCCCCAGGTTTTCCAGGATACTGGGCCAAGGGGCAGCCTTGAAAATACCAACAATACAGGGTCACTTCCTGCTGTTTATCTTCTGAGATTTCTAGATGGCAGGATACCTTGTCTTTCTCTTTCCTTTTAAATTGGATTTCCCAGCTTTCAGTGCCAAAGGAAAACCTGGAAAATAATCCATACTAACTCAGCTAGATACAGATCCCATTAACATCTCATCTTCTTCTCCAGACAAGCAGAAAATCTGGCTCAACATAATAATGAAGTCGTAGTGTATGTGTGTGTGTGTATATCTCTGTGTGATATCCTTACCTCTCACAGGGGTCTGTGCAGTCTGGCTTTACAGCCAGCCTACAAGTGCCAAGACTGTCATAATCTGTACACTCTAATAGAAGGCAAACAGAACACAGAGCAATGTATTCCCCGCACTTGCTGTCATTTCAAAGTCTCAGAGAATTTCATATAGGGAAATTCCAAAAGTAATTTCACACACATACCCGAGCTACCTAATCTGTCCTCTGCTGGCCCAGTTCAGGACATTTCAGGATGTGTTCGTATCCTCCTCCCCCTTTGCTTCTCCCAGTCCCGAGCAGGCTTTATTACTGCCCCGTGGGGCCATAGTGCTGGCCTTAACTCTGTTTGGAAAACTTTGAGCCTTCCCTCTAAGGATTCATGTGTCCCACTGGCTGGCCTTTATAACAGAGACATTCTTTGGCTCCTGTGGTGTGCCGGAATAATTTTGCCTTGTCTAAGAAGTTGTTGAAGTGACAGCGTCACCTGTCTACTGGCTCTGTCCCCTCTCCCAGCTGTGGCAGTGTGAGCACCTAATGCAGATGTACAATCCATGGGACAATCCCTGCCTGGAGGAAACAAGTCGTGAGATGAGGAGGGCATTCCAAAGAGTGCTGGCGGCCTTTGGAGATGCAGCCTGAGGAATTCTGGAGGACATGCAAACGGCCACCAGCTGCAGAAGACACAGGGAGAGACATGTAGACAGATGGTCTGAGAGGGCAGGCGACTCGGGGGTCATGAAGCATGGCCTCTGACCCACTCAGAAAGCGCTGGCCAGGGAAGGACCCAATGGGGATCCAACAGTGACCTTGTGACCCCCAACCTTACTGCCTCAATAATGGGTGAATAATGGCAAAATATTAATAAAGGCAATTATTTTTCTCCAGTGTGCTCACTTGATCAGCTTGCAGGCCCAGGGACAAGGCTTGGCTGTCTGGGATGACAGGGAGCTAAATTCCATTCTTTAATCATCCTTATTTTTAGTCATGGGGACAAGGGAGTTAAATTACTATGTAATCATCCCCTAGGGCTGAAATCCATTTGTTCCTAAGAATCTTTACGGGTAGTTTAGGCCTGTGTTTTTGGTTTGTTTGTTTTTTCTTTCATAACTTCTACCTTGAGAGCACAGACAATCTAAAAAAAATAAAAATGACTTTCAAAGTCCAGATTTGCTAACCTGTTTATAATTGTGTTATTTTTCCCTCTTTACGTTCTGTCATCATGACTCCCCAAATCACTGAAGTCCCCCCACCTGAACACCTACTACACGGGGAATGCTATTTTGAAAAGTCATCTTTCTTTTAATAGATAACTGCACAGAACAGCGAGGAGGCACGGGGGAGGCAGGGTATTGTGCTCCTCATGGAATCTAAAGAGCAACCTCGGGTTTGGGGACTCAGCAGTCAGCAAAGGTGCTGGTCCTTTTCATGGCTCTGGACGTGCCAGGTCTCAGCTGAATGTCAGAGCACACTCCCGATCTGTCTGCAACTTTCATTTGATGATCTTGACCTTTCTAATTGGGTGTGTACCTGTGGCAAGCTTCCCATTGGTTCAATGAGCCTCATTTGGAATCCGATGAGTAATTATGTCTTTTCTGGCTTCCTACTTCATTCTAATTAGTGTGCTTTACCTAACCAGAGCCAGCAAGAGCTGCCTCAAATGCTGCATCTCTTTCTACTGAATTTACCAAGTTTGTGTGACTAGGCAGAAAATGTTAATAGCTAAAAGTAGCCCTGAAAGTGTTTGCAGGCTGGGAATCCCTCCTCCCGCTTGCTGCGAACTTTCTTCTTCTTTGACAATTTATGTGGTAATAACACTTTGATCTTTAATCATCTTTTCTATCTTTCCAGTTAGTGTCACCCCTCTGAACTCGTCCAGGAAAGACTCTAGTGATGGGATGGCAGGCGAGTGGGGGAGTCTGGCAGGCAGCGAGCTAAGCAGCTGGCCTGACAGTGTCGGTAGAACTCGGAGAACGTTTCCAAGGAAGGGCAGCTTGCCTGAGCTGTTACCTTGATCCCCTTCCCATTAGAAAGAGACGGCAGAGCCCAGGCGAGCCTTCCTCGAAGTGGAACCGACCAAAGCCTGGCGCCTTGACGAAGGTCATCCCAAAGTTGGTGGCAGGTGTGAGCCTAAGACCTTGCTCACTCTCATCCACCCACTAGATCAGAGCTTCTCAAAAAGTCATAGCCATAGAATCATTGCCTGAAACAAAATTTGGGCAGAATCCACTGTTTAAAGCAGCAGAAGCTGAGTTGCTGGGGGCGAGGAATGTGGGGAGGAAGGGAACAAGCTTCCTTCCCAGTCTCCCCTTTCTCTACCCTCCGTCCTCGCCACGTCCCCAGCGAACTTCCTGGGAACAGTGTTTGGGAACCCCGCACCTCTAGACCACACAGCATCCTTTAGGCAGAAGGACACTGTAATCTTAGCCGTCCCCACCCCCACTCTCCCTTTCCCCAAAGAGGAGAGGACAGATGCTCAGAAGTAAATGAACTGAAATTCAAGTAGAAGAAATTCCTAGGGGCTGTTTACTTGGTGTTCCATGCCTAGCAGGTTCTCTGTGCCCTCTGGCTGAATCAGCTCTTTGGGGGCATTTGAGATGGCAGACAGAGCCAGGAAGCCTGGGCAGCGCCGGGTAGCAGTGCCGCAGGCCTGAAGACTCACGGTGTCTGATCCCTGCCCACCTGCTCCATCCCTCCCACAACTCTCCCTCCTGCAGACAGATTCCTGGCTCCGTTGCATGGGGTTTCCTCATGCCTTCCCATCCCTTCTACACTGAGTCTATGTTAGATTAGACAGCAGGAATTTGGAGGGGAGAAAAGATATGGAAATGTTTGTACCCAAGAAAGTCCTGCTTTTTTTTTTTTTAACTCCTGGGCAGCACTCAGCAAGCATCCAGCAGAGCAGATAGTGGACTCCTCCCGGGCATCTTCTGGGACAGGAAAAAGCGGGCTGGGCCTGGAGCCGGGAGCGGGCTCTGCTTCCTTCTTTGTCACAAGGAGGACCAGTGGGCCCAAGCAAATGTCCGGAGTCGCCACACTTGGCTTTCAATGAAACTAAAAGGTGGTTTCTCGGGTCTCTTCTAGCTCCACTTTTGCCACCAATCTGGCAAAGGCCACCAGGCTGCCAATTGCCAACAGGCCACCAATCTGGCAAAGCCCTCAGCCCCTTCCTGAGGGAAGGGGCCCAGGAGGCTCTTTCAGTGATTTACTCTGGATCGTGTCCTGCATGTGGAAGAAAATCAGCTCTGCGGTCCTGCTCAGCACTGCCTGGAACAGAGACAGTGTCCGGAGCCAAAAGCAATCCGCACACTGGACGACATGAGGCTGGCCACCAGGGAGGCAGCAGGCGAGCACTTTATCCTAAAGGGGTCTCTCTTGTTGATGGTGACCAGACCCTCAGACCCACTTACATCAGGAGGATGAGTGTGAGGTTCTTCCAGGGAGCACGCTGGAGCAACCACAGGAAGACAGAGCGCTCTCAGTCAAAACTGGCCATTGTCCCACTTCTTCAAGGCACCCCCACCAGCCAGCTCTGGGATGCCACTGTTGAAACGGCTTTCCACAGCTCCTCACTTTTCCTGTGGTCTTCAGTCAACATCCATCACCCGAGGAGAGACAGGCTTGTCTTTTCCTCCCAACCCAAAAGCACCTGGAGGTGATTATTCCATTCTACTCTATAAGCAGGTCATGATGAGTCAGGCCTGGGTCCTAAATCACCTGACACCCTGACGTCAGTGTTGGGCACAACTTCTCCTTCCTAATCCAACACATGGGATTCAGTGCCTTGGGGGTCAATGGAGCAAACTTTTCTTCAGATTCAGAGCCCTCAGTAGTTTATTATTAACTAGTAAGGTGACCTTGAGAAGGGTGCTGGGTCCTTGACATCTACCTACCTCCTAGGGCTGTTATACAAAGAAATCAAGTGTGATCACACATGTGCCCCTACTTAGGCATATTTATTGATTGACTACACAAATATTTGTCCTTAACACCCAGATAAAAAGTGCAGGACACAGACGGCAGAACATGGACAGTAAGAGTGTGGCTCTAAAGTCGGAGGTGATTGGGTTCGGATCACAGCTCTGGCACTTCCTACAAGGGTGACCTTGAACAAATTACTTAGCCTCCCTGTGCCTCAGTTTTCTCATCTGTAAAATGGGGATGATAATAAAAACCCCTGCTTCAGAGGATTGTTAATTAGGTTAATGTCAAGTGCTTAGAACAGCACCTAGGATATAGCAAATGCCCAATTAGTGTCTGTTATTATTAAGGGCAGCACATTTCTCTGGCCAGAAGCTCCCACCATCTTCCTGTGCACATGCGGATGAAGCCCTTACCGTGGGCCTTGGGCAGGGAAGCTGGGCGGGGTGATGGGTGCTAGAGCGCCTCCTCCCTCAGGTGCCTGGTCTTCTGTTCAGCTGCGTTTGTTCTGTGGACGTCCTGTAACGCCCTCCTGCCTGAGAGCCTCAGCGTCCCCCTAGAGAAGAAAGACAGTTGTAATGACCTGTCCCACGGACGATCATTAGAACTGCTCATGCATGGTGTCCCAGAAGAACCCCCGACTCCATGATTTCCCAGGTGTGTGCCCTTCTGTCCAGGGCGTCTGAGCAGAGGTCACAGAATCCCAAAGAGAAACAGCCTGGGCCCAAAGAGCTCCACCGGAAAAGTACGGAGAGTTATTTTTGCTGTAAATACCTTTTAAAAAGTGATTCTCCATCATGAAAAATGAATTAAAAAATAAACAAATAAAAATAAAAAATGATTTTCCAACTTTTCCTCTGCCTTTAATTTTTCCAATTAGGATCACAGAAATCCTCCTACCCCCTTGAGTTAGACATGAGGTAGAAATTGTAATAGGAGTTTTATTTCAAGAATGTAGTCTGTTCTTCCCAGCAAAGCCCTCTATTGGGAGTAACAGTCATTGACTGCATGGGCAGGCCCTAGAGTGGGGAGGTCATCCACTCAGCCTGCAGGGACCCCTCTCGGCCATCTATGAGGGAGCAGCTTGAGCAAGAAAGGCCCAGACCCTGAGGGCTCGGCCCAGGTCCTCCGACCACTCTGTGTGGCAGAGGGTGTGGGTGGCAAGGGCGGGCGTCTCTGCCAACCATCGCTCTGCTGTTTCTGTAGTGGTTCTAGTTCAAACTGTCCAGAGATGGCACCACATGGCTCCTCAGAGGCCCCCCCCCAGAGCAGGAGAACTGGGGAGAAGGCAAGTGACCCCCGCATTTGAGCGGCTGCTTTGTGTTTGGTTCGCTGCTGGCTGCATCTCCACCCTCGGCTGCGGCGTCCATCAAGGACAGCATTCATGGGCAGCCAGAAGAACATCTTTGGCTCTGAGTTCGATTTCTTAACCCCCAGATGTGAGCTGTGAATGGCACAGAGCGGTGACCAGTTCCTGGTATTTGCTCAGATGGCAGAGAGACCTTTGTCCTTGAATCAGATCCCAAGCCAGACCTTGGACTCTGCTGCCCCGGCTTCAACTGTTGCTTCATGAGTGGTTCCTGATGACTGTTCTGTGTAATCAGTGGTAAGAAACAGCACGGCTCTGTCCTCGGGCCATGCTGGGGATGCCAGCGCCCAGTCCCAGGAAGGCCCGGGGGCTGGGGAAGGAAGGCTGAGCGCCGAGTTGGGTCACCCCGTTCGCGCAGGCCCAGTCTCGTGACGTGTCATTTTCCTCCAGGAGAAAGTGACTCTTTCACCTTTTTCAACCTCAAAAATATTTTTTTTAATTCAAGATATTTTCTGATAAATGTAAGATCACTTAAGTGGCAGAGTCTACAACAGGTACAATATTGTTAGTATGAGCCCCACTGTATAGCCAGGCCAAGGCCCATGGAGAGTAAAGCATCCCTTCCCTCAACAGATATTTGAACCAGCCTAAAACTCACACGGCCCAAGCGATGTACAAGCTTCTCTCGCTAAAACACAGCCTGTCGCCACAGAGTTGGTGGCTCGGCAGTGGCGGTTGGAGCCTGATTAAGTCACACCGTAAATACAGAACTGATTAAGGAACCTCGCCCAAAATAAAAACACCACCAAACTGCACTCTTTCTTAAGTGTGAAGGAAGGAGAACAGAATCTGCTTTTCCCTATGATGAATATATCATTAGCAAACGATCTCCACCTCTCCCATCCTCCCACCCCTACTTCGCCCCTGCTCCTCCTCCGCACACCCAGTTGGGGGGGGGGGAGGCGGGGTGCTTGCACTGGAGTGAGGTTATTGCTGAGAAAGTGAGAGGTCGTCCCCAGGGGGGGAGAGACAGGCGTCGTCCTTACGCTGCAGAGCATTCTGAAGTAGGCCAGGGCAGCTGAGAGGCAGCTTGCTGGGGGAGGAGCGAGAGTTCTCGGAGGAGCTGAGTTCCAGGCCATCACCTCAGGGTCAGGAAGAGATGGAGGAGTCCTACTCCGCCAAGTCTTGTGGAAGGGAACTGAGACTGTCGGATCCCGCTGGGGGAACGGGACTGGAGTGAACCGAAGGGTGGACAGGGAGCCCAAGCAGAAAATTACCTCGACTCACCCAGGAAACCAAGGACACAAGAAAAGTGCATGTGTTCTGGGGGAAAAGAAGGGAGAAGTTGTTCAGGCAGAAGCATTGGATGTTCAGGCCTGCTTTCGAAGACACTAGACTCGGCATCGGGGTTGGGGAGTAGAGAAGAGCGGGAAACTAGAAAAGTTTGGGAGGAATTCCGGGGCACATTCAGTTGGCACCAGCTGAGCCTCTAACCTCCAAATCCCACGTCTTAAATCCCACGTCTTAGACGTGCCGCACCCTGACATTGGTCTGCACTGCGTTGTGCACCAAGAGGCTGGCAGTGGGAGCCAAGAGGAGGAAAGGCCGTGAGCCCAGAGGGCCCGCTTTGGAAAAGCCATTACCCTGGGCCGGCTGCCTCTGGAAGAGAGTGACCTATCACACAGCGGGCAAGGAAGTGTCCAGAGGTCTCCCCTCTGTGACTGCCTGCGGCCAGGTTTCACACAGTACCTTTTGTGTCTGTGTGGTTTTTGCTTTTTTATTTCTTTATTTTTTTTTTATTGCTCTCTAAATAAGTTTCCGTAGCTGTTAAAAAAAAAAAAAAGAAAAAACAGTGCTTCTCAAAGCAGGGTCCCTGGACCAGCATCGACAGCATCACCTGGGAACTTAGGAATGTAAATGCTCCACCAGACCCCAGATGGAAAGCGACAGAGCTTTAGGACTGGGGCCAGTGACCTGCATCTTAACAAGCCCTTCCCGAGATGCAGAAGCAAGCTTGCTTGAGAACCACCATGGGCGTTAGCAGAATGGCAGGCCCACTAAACCAGGAAAGTACCAAATATTTCGCCCCTTGCCATTTATCGATTGATGTTTGGCGGCTGTGTTTAAATGTTCTTTGCAGGAATGTGCAGGGTTTCAATGACTTATAGTTCAATGTTTATGGGATTATTATGCATATTATTGGGTCAACTATTTTAACCTTGGGGATGAGAAGGAGGCACAACGGAGCCAGAATGTTATTTCAATCCACACCACCTCCCTTTTTTCTCTAGGCCAGAGAAAATGAAACAAAGTAAACAAAGAGATGTGGGTGGAGGGACGCTCTCTGGCTGCACCCCACTCCCGCTGAGCTGTCTGAATCGGAGGACAACTGCAAAGGGTCCTTAAGACCTGCACCGGCTGGTCTTTCCCTTTGGAAGCCAGACCTCAGAGGGCAGCATGTGACCGGCGAGTAACAACAGACTACTCACATGCTTCCCTTTTCCTTTTTCAAGTTCAATTATCCTAGCATTTCTCAACACCCACTTCCCACCCACCCCCAGGAAAATGGAATTTTATGCCCCTGGAGACTCGTGAAACCCTCAGTCACCCCTTAGCCCCGCTCCTGTCCTCCCCTCAGCCACACATTCTGTCTGGCTCTCTCAGTCTGGGTTCCAGCCAAAACATTCCAAGACAGAAGCTTCCTTCCTGCCCGGCTCATGCTGTCAAGAAAGCTACGTGAGGCCAAAGACGGACATCCAGTCAGGGTGGCAGAGATCTGTGTTGTCCCTAACCCTTCTGGCAGGTGAAGAGGAGGCTTTTACGTAATGCCTGGAGGCGGCTCACGGAGGTGGGAAAAAAGGGGTGGTTATGTAAGCAAAGCACATGGGTGTGCACACTGCTATTCACCTGTTGCTAATTAGTGCGCTGCCTGACTCGGAAAAAAATGTGCCTGCTTCTGCAAGCTCACCTCGCTGTCAGAGTGAAGACAGAGACGCAGTCTGGAAGGGTTCGGTTCAGTTCGACAAAGACATTTATTAAACCACATACTCTGTTAGGTGCTGGGGTTACTGAAATGAGTAAACCAGGGTCCTTCTTCACAAGCAGCTTGTGGTCCAGAAGAGAGACACAGGCCACTAAACAGTCCTTTACAGTTCATGTAATATGTGCTATGAAAGTATCTCCAGTATGCACAGAAGTCCTGCAGAAGTGCTTTGAACATTGAGTCAGTCCGGCCTGGTGGTTTCTTCCAGAAGGGGCGTCCAGTGAGGCGGAAGCCAGCTTGGGAAGAGCTCTGAGACTGTGCTGCTGTTAATGGCCATTGTTTAGCATCCTGGTTGCCAGGAAACACCTTTTATCACTTAGGTAGAATGAATAGTAAACCAAGGCAGGGATGAAGAGGGAAATATGTCTCACCCACTAACTCAGCAGTCCTGAGCCTGCTGAGCCGGATAATATTGCCAAGTGTTCCAACATCACAAGAAATACTATGTTAGCAAGGAAGGAGGGAAGTCCTTGAAGTGATTCTATGTAGCGCTTCCACTATCTGGGAAAGAAAGCCCTGAACTGTGTATCCATCCCAAGGCCTGGAAGGGGGAAGAACAAGGGGTCCATAGCACCCAAAGAAGCAGCCCAGAAAACAGCTTTGGTTAATTGTCTACCTGTGTCCACTATCTGTTTTACGAGGGAGTCCTTAATGTTTACAGAAACAGCCCATAAGCAACTTCGGGTAACTGCCCCAACTTTAATTAACTGCCTCCTGTCACGTATCTGTTTTACAAGATGAGCAAATGGAGTCTGGAGCAAGATAAGGATTTGGGCCAACGGACCCCCACACAGACCTAAGTTTGGGTTGTCAGGCCCCCCGGGGAGAGCTGGCACCACATGTACCCATCAATCAATGTGTAACGTTTTTACTCCCATCCCACCAACTGTAAGTCCTCAGGACAAAGGACTCGCTCTCTGGGTGCTCTGGGTGTCCTTGGCGCTTTTGGCTCTCCGGCCACGTGGCCTCAGGCCACCCTGGGGCTTGCCACCCCAGCCTTCAGACACCCTCACTTTCGCCACCCTGCTTTGCCCTGAACCTACACCTTTCACCACCGGCAGCCCCCGCCTGCCGCCCCCAGCTAGGCCTGCTCTCTTCCATGGCAACAGATCACTAATAAACTCTGATTGCACGCTGATCAATTTATTAATCTGTAATTCTTTACACGTGTCAGCAAGAAGAACCAGGTCTCTCCCATCAACAC